AGAGGTTTTTTGAAGTCTCAAACAGCAGACCTTTGTCCATTCTGTCTTTCGTAGTGCTGTTGCCCTGCTATCTCATAACTTCTGCATACATTTTGCTAAGTTGATTTCTTGTGCAGGCATCTCTTCAATGGATAAAGTGTTTTCCATTATTTGCTTAGAACTGATTATCTGCTGTTTGGCTTTTAGCTGCAGTTAAAATCAGAAAGGAGATGGTTCAATGTTTTACTCATTTGCAAGCTTTGCCCATTGCTAAACTTCATTCAAAATGGTACAGAGCTCTCCCTTATAATGAAGGAGGACCAGAGGCTTTGAAGGGCCTCCCTATATAGTCTGGACGCACTTCCTGTGTTGCTCCAACCTGCCTTTGTGGGGGGGTTTTGGGTTGTTTATTATTTTTTAATAGATACAGTCAGGTCCATAAATATTGGGACATTGATACAATTCTAATATTTTTGGCTCTATACGCCACCACAATGGATTTGAAATGAAACGAACAAGATGTGCTTTAACTGCAGACTGTCAGCTTTAATTTGAGGGTATTTACTAGAGATGAGCGAATCGAACCTGGCAAAGTGGAATTCGTTTCGAATATTAGGAAAAATTCGATTCGCGTCGAATCCGAATATTAGCAAACTTCGGATGCGCGAAACGAATTTTCCCCGATCGGCCGATTTTCATCCCTTCTACAGCCGGCAAAAAGTGTCCCTGCAGAGAGCTCCGCTATTTCTGACAGTTCTCTGACAGTTCCTTCACATTTACAGCAGTTGAAACATTGTATCTATTTGTTTCCATTTAGGATACAGATGTTTTTATTCGGAAACAAATAGATACAATGTTTCAACCGCTGTAAATGTGAAGGAACTGTCAGAGAACTGTCAGAAATAGCGGAGCTCTCTGCAGATACACTTTTTGCTGCACTGGAATTCTTCTTCATCCTCATCCTACTTCTTCTTCTTCTTCTTCTTCATCCTCATCCTACTTCTTTCTTCTTCTTCTTCATCCTCATCCTTCTTCTTCTTCTTCTTCATCCTCATCCTACTTCTTCTTCTTCTTCATCCTCATCCTACTTCTTCTTCTTCTTCTTCTTTTTCATCCTCATCCTACTTCTTCTTCTTCTTCATCCTCATCCTTCTTCTTCTTCTTCTTCTTCATCCTCATCCTACTTCTTCTTCTTCTTCTTCTTTTTCATCCTCATCCTACTTCTTCTTCTTCTTCATCATCCTCATCCTACTTCTTCTTCTTCTTCTTCATCCTCATCCTACTTCTTCTTCTTCTTCTTCTTCATCCTCATCCTACTTCTTCTTCTTCTCATCCTACTTCTTCTTCTTCTTCTTCTTCATCCTCATCCTACTTCTTCTTCTTCTTCTTCTTCTTCTTCATCCTCATCCTACTTCTTCTTCTTCTTCTTCATCCTCATCTACTTCTTCTTCTTCTTCATCCTCTTCTTCTTCTTCTTCATCATCATCCTCATCCTACTTCTTCTTCTTCTTCTTCTTCTTCTTCATCCTCATCCTCATCTTCTTCTTCTTTCTTCCTACTTCTTCTTCTTCTTCTTCATCCTCATCCTACTTCTTCTTCTTCTTCTTCTTCTACTTCTTCTTCTTCTTCTTCTTCTTCTTCTTCTTCATCCTCTTCTTCTTCTTCTTCTTCTTCATCCTCATCCTACTTTCTTCTTCTTCTTCTTCATCCTCATCCTACTTCTTCTTCTTCTTCATCCTCATCCTACTTCTTCTTCTTCTTCTTTTTCCTCATCCTACTTCTTCTTCTTCTTCTTCTTCTTCTTCATCCTCATCTACTACTTCTTCTTCTTCTTCTTCATCCTCATCCTACTTCTTCTTCTTCTTCTTCTTCATCCTCATCCTACTTTCTTCTTTCTTCTTCTTCTTCTTCTTCATCCTCATCCTTCTTCTTCTTCTTCTTCTTCTACTTCCTCATCCTACTTCTTCTTCTTCTTCTTCTTCTTCTTCTTCATCCTCATCCTACTTCTTCTTCTTCTTCTTCTTCTTCTTCTTCATCCTCATCCTACTTCTTCTTCTTCTTCATCCTCATCCTACTTCTTCTTCTTCTTCTTCTTCTTCATCCTCATCTTCTTCTTCTTCTTCTTCTTCTTCATCCTCATCCTACTTCTTCTTCTTCTTTCTCATCCTCTTCTTCTCTTCTTCTTCTTCTTCATCTTCTTCTTCTTCTTCCTTCTTCTTCTTCTTCTTCTTCTCATCTTCTTCTTCTTCTTCATCCTCATCCTCTTCTTCTTCCTCTTCTTCTTCTTCTTCTTCTTGCCATGGGCCCCTGTACCGCCTCCTCATGCTGCTGCCAGGTCCAGAGTGTGTCATGGGTCCCTGTACGGCCTCCCATTGCTGCTGTCTCCATCGCCACACTCTGCCATGTGCCACTTTCAGGTCTCCTCACACTGCTGGTGGGTTCCATTTTGTCATAGGGTGCTGTATGGCCTCCCATTGCTGCTGCCTCCACCGCCACACTGTGGCTCCACACTCTGGTTTTGGCCCCGTGACTGCCCAAATGAGTGAAGTGTGCGGTGATTCTAAGATCGACGGCACTCATCTGCATGTCATACTGACTGACAGTATTATTTCTCTTCCCCAGCAGACTCCAAGGGCATTTAAATTAAAGGTACAGTGTTCTGCACTAATATAAAGGCTCTCTGAAGCCTAGAAACCCTTTTTATAAGTTAAATTTGCAGCGAATAAATTCGCATCGAATCGAATTTATTCCACAAATTCGGCGAATCAGCCGAATCGAATTTTTGAATAATTCGCTCATCTCTAGTATTTACATCCAAATCAGGTGAACGGTGCAGGAATTACAACAGTTTGCATATGTGCCTCCCACTTGTTAAGGGACCAAAAGTAATGGGACAGAATAATAATCATAAATCAAACTTTCACTTTTTAATACTTGGTTGCAAATCCTTTGCAGTCAATTACAGCCTGAAGTCTGTAGACATCACCAGACGCTGGGTTTCATCCCTGGTGATGCTCTGCCAGGCCTCTACTGCAACTGTCTTCAGTTCCTGCTTGTTCTTGGGGCATTTTCCCTTCAGTTTTGTCTTCAGCAAGTGAAATGCATGCTCAATCGGATTCAGGTCAGGTGATTGACTTGGCCATTGCATAACATTCCACTTCTTTCCCTTAAAAAACTCTTTGGTTGCTTTTGCAGTATGCTTTGGGTCATTGTCCATCTGCACTGTGAAGCCGTCCAATGAGTTGTGAAGCATTTGGCTGAATATGAGCAGATAATATTCTCGAAACACTTCAGAATTCATCCTGCTGCTTTTGTCAGCAGTCACATCATCAATAAATACAAGAGAACCAGTTCCATTGGCAGCCATACATGCCCATGCCATGACACTACCACCACCATGCTTCACTGATGAGGTGGTATGCTTAGGATCATGAGCAGTTCCTTTCCTTCTCCATACTCTTCTCTTCCCATCACTCTGGTACAAGTTGATCTCGGTCTCATCTGTCCATAGGATGTTGTTCCAGAACTGTGAAGGCTTTTTTAGATGTCGTTTGGCAAACTCTAATCTGGCCTTCCTGTTTTTGAGGCTCACCAATGGTTTACATCTTGTGGTGGACCCTCTGTATTCACTCTGGTGAAGTCTTCTCTTGATTGTTGACTTTGACACACATACACCTACCTCCTGGAGAGTGTTCTTGATCTGGCCAACTGTTGTGAAGGGTGTTTTCTTCACCAGGGAAAGAATTCTTCGGTCATCCACCACAGTTGTTTTCCGTGGTCTTCCAGGTCTTTTGGTGTTGCTGAGCTCACCGGTGCATTCCTTCTTTTTAAGAATGTTCCAAACAGTTGTTTTGGCCACGCCTAATGTTTTTGCTATCTCTCTGATGGGTTTGTTTTGTTTTTTTTCAGCCTAATGATGGCTTGCTTCACTGATAGTGACAGCTCTTTGGATCTCATCTTGAGAGTTGACAGCAACAGATTACAAATGCAAATAGCACACTTGAAATGAACTCTGGACCTTTTATCTGCTCATTGTAATTGGGATAATGAGGGAATAACACACACCTGGCCATGGAACAGCTGAGAAGCCAATTGTCCCATTACTTTTGGTCCCTTAACAAGTGGGAGGCACATATGCAAACTGTTGTAATTCCTACACCGTTCACCTGATTTGGATGTAAATACCCTCAAATTAAAGCTGACAGTCTGCCGTTAAAGCACATCTTGTTCGTTTCATTTCAAATCCATTGTGGTGGTGTATAGAGTAAAAAATGTTAGAATTGTGTCGATGTCCCAATATTTATGGATCTGACTGTACATCTTATTTAAAAGGTAAGTTCACCTTTCGTAACATGTTACACCCATATTCAGGGTATACCATGTTACGAATAGACCGGCCTCTTCACCACCCTCGTTATCTGCCACAATTTCTTGTGTGGGTCTCCGACCGCCTGGCTGCGTCATTCATTCATGGTGTTCTGTGAATGAGAACACTACAAGTTCCAACAGCCTTTGCGGCTATCGGTTGGTAGTTCTCAGTGAACTACCATGGCACTGTAAAGAGCCATGGTAGTTCATTGAGTCTTCCTGTCAGTAAGTATCTGCTTGCCTGTATGAGGTGTATACTGATACACTGACAGGTCTTCAGGAGACCTGCATGGCACCAGCAATCTGCTGATTGCTGGTGCAATGCTTTACAGGCTCCAGAAACAAAAAACGTTTTTTCTTAGTTTTTGTTATAAAATTTTGTAAATAAGTGATTTTTCTCCTTCACTGATGTGCGCTAATGAGGCTGCAGTGATGGGCACTGATAGGCTGCACTGATGGACACTGATAGTTGGCACTGATGGGCACTGATGAGGAGGCACTGGTAGGTAGCACTGATGGGCATTGACAGGCATCTCTGATGGGCACTGAAAGGCAGCACTGATATATGGCACTGATAAGCGGCACTGACTGGCACTGTTAGGTGGCACTGACTGGCACTGTTAGGCAGCACTGACTGGCGCTGTTAGGCGGCACTGATGTGCACTGATAGGCAGCACTGACTGGCACTGATAGGGGGCACTGATTGGAAGCACTGATAGGTGGCACTGACTGGCACTGATGAGTGACACTGAAAGGCAGCTCAGATGGGCACTGATTGGTGGCATTGATGTGCACTGGTAGGCACTGATATGTGGCATTGATGGGCACTGGTACGTGGCACTGATAAGCACTGACAGCTGGCACTGATGTACACTGACAGGTGACACTGCTGGAACTACACCATGATGATGCTCTGATGATCAGTGTAGATGTCCCCTCCGTGGAATGCCGATTACCGGCTCTCCTCTCGAGCTGTCAGCGTGACAGCTCGTGAGGAGAGAAATGCCGATAACCGACATTTCCCCGTTTACATGTGAGCAGCTGTGATTGGACACAGCTGATCACATGACCAAACCGACATCTTCGGCTCTTTCCGTTGACCGGTGATCCACTGTGTCCGAGGGACACAGCGCGCCGCCGATTGCCACGCTGCGCGCTCCCTGAGCCGCGCATGCGCAGTGAGAATGGGAGGACGTCATATGACGTCCTCCCAGAACGAGAGAACCACCTTGCGCCCGTCATTGGACTATATGGCAGGCGGGAGGTGGTTAAACAGAGGGACAACTGAGGAGGAAAGAGGAACAGTGGGTCTTGGCTCCAAAAGAGGGACAGTCCCTCAAAATGAGCAACAGTTGGGAACTACTGTTTTATATGATCAATAACCAAAACATTATTGGACAACAATGGAAATGCTGGCTGGGCTGACATTATCAAACACATAATTTAAGCAATCAATTGTACCAAGAACAGGAATGCTGAGATCCTTTGTTAAAATGTATTGCAGGAACAGGTTCTATTCTGATGTGTTTCAAGCTAGCATATCTAGGCAACTTGTTCCTGCTGACTATTTTAATGAAGGAAGAATATTATTTAGCATTTTGGTGTACAGCATTCCAGCTGTTTGTTTTGTTGGAGATGGATGGAGCCAGCACCTGATATGTGATTTTAGAGTGTACAGTCTGATCTTGCCTGGAGCGGCATGTGAAATTTTAAATGCATAAATTAGTTTAATACATGAAGCGACACTGCCAGTGTATTTGCAAGTGCACACTTACTGGCAATGGACATGTGTTCAATCAGCGTTCTGCTTGTCCTGTTGTGTTTACTCAGCAATCTCAAGAATGTGTCCTGTTTCTGTTCCAGAGCCATTGATGCAATGGAGGTCCCAAACCTGGTTATTCTGTCTGATATGTGGACTGGAACACAAGACTGGTTGCAGGGAATAATAAATCCTTTATCAAGTAAAATAGTTTATATATATACTTAAACTAAGTATTTAGACATCTCTGTTCTGCCATGAGCTGGTGTTCCAGAAGACCATCCTCTCCAATACAAGGAAGTGCCTTCTTAACATGGAGGGTGATCATTTAATGTTGCCAAGTGGATCAGAATAAATGCATTCTCCAAACCATTGCTATTCAAGTCAGTCAACTAAACTGAGCGGTGTGGAAACAGGACCTCAGCGTATAAAGTTACAGTTTAAAATATGAACAAAATAAAACCTTTTTTTAGTTTTGGATAGAGTAGAGAGGGATTAGAACACCTAAGTTTTAACTGCTGTCTGTGCCCCTGTTAGGGAGAGCCATCCTCTCTATTTGTCATGTTTACTATTATCATTGAAAGTGAAAATGAAAGAAAATCTCAAATTTTGGGTTAACACCAGAACAGTAATGAGGGTAAAATTTCCAATGGACACACTAGTGCTGGTGACCCTCGTGACAACCAGTGGTTTCCTCACTTTGGTGGGATTTCCTCTCACTTCCTGTTTTAACTATGGGACAGGGAGTGAAGAGAAATATTTCCAATGCAGCAAAGATTCCAGAAAAACCTGACTGGGGTTATAACCCTCCCTTGCCTTTTATAAGCCAGCCTTGCCCATTTCTGTCCAGACTGCTTTGAGAAAAAGGTGGTCAGCCTTGAAACACGTAACCATGCTCCAACACACGTGAAGTCATATCTGGAGCTACTGCTGGCCAACATCTGGCCCTCCTTTTCTCTCTAAGGCTTCCATTGACATCTAATGGAACCTAGCTGCTGTGGAACCCATCCTGGCCTTCTTATTTCCAGAGGAGCTGAGAGACTGATGGACGTGTGAGGCTGACTCATCAATGTTACCACAAGGCACTTCTTCATCTATATCTGTGAGTTGCTGCCCCTGACTTCTATTGACATCTACAGGAACAACCCAACCTATCCTTCTTGTTTTCGGATTTGCTGAGAGACTGACCAACCAGTGTGAGGCTGACTCATCTATGTTAACAAAAGCCCAGATGCTTGAATTTTGAGGGAGCATGTACCGCTGTGAGAAGATTTACCCCCAGAGGTTGATATATATGTGTTTACACTTACATGCCAGTTATTGCCAATTGTCTACTTAAAATGGTACTAAACCCACAACAGTAAAACTAGTCTGTATATGCAGTAAAGCATGCTTGTTATACTCACTGTGGAACCTAAGGGGCTAATCCTCAGCATTGTGTAAAAAGGCTGTTTGATCCTGACTTCTCTAATTCTCCCCTTCTTCCACAGTCCCCAATCTATCTGCTAATAGCATAGAGCCCTAGCAGCAGTTTTTTTTTGGGGAGAGTGTACATATGATTGGCACAGGGCCAATCAGCACTGTCCAGACTGAAGGTCAGGGGTCATGCAGCCTCATAGGACACTGAGAGGAGAATGAAAATTCCTCCTACAAGCTTTAACCAGTGCTAGACCATAAACTGATAGAAGTAAAAAGACTGCTATATACTGCTCATGAGAAAAGATATTTAGCAGTTTATATTTGCTACAATAATTGCATTTCCATGTTCTGTGTACTGTGGGAGACCAGATATATTGAATGCAGAGTCCTGGGTTTAGTAACACTTTAAGTAAAAGTTTTTAATAACCACTGTACTCAGATGTGCCCTCTGCTGTTCATACCTAATACACATTCAACATCCTGGGACCTTTCCCAATATTTTCCACCAAAACTATATAAAACAGCCTTATTATGAATGGAACATTTTCCAACAGCACATTTATCAGAAGTAAATACAGCATGGTGTAAACATGCCTCATGGACTATACTAAACAATAACAATCAGGTTTTTAGATGTTTATAAAAGTGAAAAATGTTAATGTATCAAAGCAGTGCTCTACACATAATATATCACAGTTAACAGCGTATAGGTGATTATATTATTGCAGGTTATATGCAGCAGGTTGGAAATATGGAGAGGAGACACAACGCTTTTTGCAGCTATAGATACAGCTTCTGCAGGAGGATTGGTAGAGGTGCCTAATAAAAAAATTATAGACTGAGGTCACCATACAGACCTATGGACCTGTTTATGGGGAGAGTTTTGGTGGCTTGGGATTTGGCACAGTTGTGAATCGCACTATTGTATATGTATTATTCTGATAAATATATCTTTGCATGTTGGGACTATAAATATATATTGATGTATATACCTACTTTGTACAATAATTGTAATCTGTATTTCTATATTTCAGAGACCTCTACCATTCCCCTTCAGAACCAGTATCTATAACTGTGAAACGCATAGAGGCTCCCAAGCACGTTTCAGACCTGCTGCATAAAACCTGCACTAATACAATTGTGTATATGCTGTTAACTACAATATTTTGTGCATAGAGCACATGTTATTTGGGGCTCATATGGCTAGGAGATGTATTGAAATACAGTGTTCACGTATTTTGTGCAACTATGTCTTTTCTCTGAATACATTTTTTTTCTTGTTGCAGTGAAGCAGAAAAGCACATGTGTACTGTGTACTGTGCACTGTCTGTTCTGTAGGGCTATATACAGAATTTTTAACAGGATGCAAATGAAAAAGACCTTCTCTTGAGTTTTTATGATACATGTTGTCAGGATCCAGATCTGAATCCGGAACCTCTTTGATGTCTAGCTGTGTCACCTGAGAAGCTGGACAGTTAGTTCCCTGTCAGTTTCCCTGGACAATCTTGCTTTGTGTCTTTTGTCTGGTGAACCTTGAACCCTTTGGTTCTCCCATTAACTTCCTGATTGAGGCTATTCATGTTTGGCATATTCTTGTGTTCGTCTCCAGCCAATATCTTGCTTCTTTCACTCCTGCTGCCATCCATATCTTCAAAATTCATAGTTACTGACCTTTGGCTTGTGCCTTTAGTACACTTCAGCTTGATCCCAACCTGCAACCATTTGTTACCGACCTTTGGCTTATTTCTCAATTACACTTTTTCTTGTCTCCAACTTGCAACCACTTGTTACTGACCTTTGGCTTGTTTACTGACTACACTTCTGCTTGATACCTATCTGCTTCATCTGCTACTGGACCCCGGCTTGCACATCTCCTGATGAGGCAATCCTGTAGACCACAATCAGGCACTAGCACACAGCAAACCACTCTCCACCATCAGGAGCTCTGGAGAAGTATAGTTAATGCTTAGACCCACCACCTTGGATGAGCCAACATCATCTGCCAGGGTGACCTGCTCATGCATACAAAAAACTGGTCACCAGCCCAAGTCTATAACTGGCTTTTTCAGCAGTGACCATGGACAGGCATTGCATATGAAATATAAATAGGGTTACCCTGTTCAACTTGCCAGCCTAAGCCAGTCTAATAATGGCTATTATGAGCAAGGAACATGGGTAGGTATCACTTATCAATAAGGGGGATAAGAAAGCCAGTTCAATCCACCAGCCAGTTAGCCAACTATCAAAAACCAAATGAACCTATCTAAAAACATTCGTTTAAAAACAGGGGTTTCGTTAGCACACATTTGCAAATACATACATAAGCCACAGAGCCACATCACGGCACCCTGAGTATCTGTGGTCCTAACTCTATAAATCTTGAGAGTCCTCACAATGGAGGCACATGCATTTAAATGGATAGAGCATGACCTGCTCATGCACTTATCCCACTAGTTTTTGTGAACCTCTCTACAGCTATAACTACTGGTCTTCAAGCCTGACCTTTTGACCATGAAACAGACTTATGTCTTTAATTTTGTATATTCAATTTCTTTTATAATTTTAATGATTATGTTGTGTGATGGGTGCCTTCCCCACCAGTTATTGAAATGAATGGATTGAAATTATTGATAAGCCTTCAAATGCCATTTCAAATTTCACAGCACATTGATGACAAAGAAGCTGCCCATCATCGGTAAGCTGTTAATGTCCACAAAACCAAAGCAAACTTAGATACTCAACACTGGTCTGTGTCACCTGGTATACAATATGTCTGCTTGTTTTTTACTTCAGAGTACTTCTTAACCTATTTCTATATTAAAAATGCCTTAGTGGATGTTAATTGTTTGCTAGGGTCACACTGTTGAGTAATTGTGCCAATTATTTATGGTAACAGTGGCCACATCTAAGAAGTGAAACATGATTTAGATAGCTGGGATTATTAGTACGTGAGTCACGCAAACATTCTGTGCCT